TTGTGCCTTGGTGCTTTTCGCTCTTCCCCTGTTGAGAGCCTCTATGCAGAAGCGAATGTTCCATCCTTGTCTGATCACCGTGATGCCCATTGCCTTTGCTACTATGTACGCTCTCACGATCTCCACAATCCTTCCATTTATAGAATGGTCACCGATATTAGTAGACATTCTTTATTCATTCGCCGCCCCTGTTTGCTCCATCCCTTTTCTCTTCACCTACATTCACTCTTGTCTTCCCTTCAGTTACCACCTTTATATGTTCATGTAGCATCTCACTTTTCCCTACCCCCCTGGGAAGTTCCAGCTGTTCGGGTCTGTTCTTTCTCACTCCCTTGCTCGAAAGCTCAACTGCCTACGGTGGCTTCCCACTCTCTTTTTCTTGATCACTTCCACTCTCATTCTCATGCCACCGCTGTGTACACAGATGGCTCTAAGTCTTCAGACAGCGTCGGATTCGCAGCAGTGTTTCCGGACAGCGTCGTGCAGGGGCATTTACTATCTTCGGCTAGCATTTTTACTGCTGAACTGTATGCCATTCTTGCAGCACTTATTCGTATCGCATCTATGCCTGTGTCATCATTTGTGGTAGTCTCAGACTCCCTTAGTGCTCTACAGGCTATACGAAAATTTGATACATCTCACCCCCTAGTTCTCCGTATCCAACTTTGGCTACGCCGTATCTCTACGAAGCATAAAGATTTTTATTTTTTTTTGGTCCCTGGTCATGTCGACATACAGGGCAATGAACAGGCAGACACTGCTGCGCGGTCAGCAGTACATGACCTACCAATTTCCTATAGAGGTGTTCCATTTCTGGACTATTTTGCTACAATAGCTGCCCCCCCTTCGCGCCCGTTGGCAACAACGTTGGTCAACTCTGCTTGGTAACAAACTTCATTCTATTAAACCGAGCATAGGTTACTGGCCGTCTTCTTGTCATCAGTGCCGTGGTTGGGAGACCACTCTCTCCCATCTTCGCATTGGCCACACTCGTCTTACTCACGGGTATCTCATGGAGAGGCACCCTGTACCTCTCTGTGAGCAGTGTCAAGTTCCAGTATCGATTAGCCACATTCTGTTAGACTGCCCTCTCTATCAACGAGCACGCAGAATTTACCTCCAACGCCGTCTTCGTTCTACTACTCTCTCTTTACCTTCCCTTCTTGCTGATGGACCCTCCTTTAATCCTGACTCTCTCATTGACTTCTTGACAACGACTGATTTACTCCACAAACTCTGATGATGATACCTTACACACTCCCCTCAGCCCTTTCTAGCTGCCCTTTACCCTTTCACCATCCACTGCTCCGCTGTTATCCGTAACCTATTACTCATCCACCTCCCTTTTGCCACCTGATGCCCTCGCTTCCTTCCTGCCCTGCAGCGCTGTATAGCCCTTGTGGCTTAGCGCTTCTTTTTGATAATAATAATAATATGGTTCCTGAAGTTGATGCTTATGTAATTTCACACTATGTAATGTGAATAATATATGGGCAAAATATTGTCAATAAAGGTTCCACATATACCTACCACTTTTCTGTTATCAAAGGTTCTTTGCAACTCACATTTTTTAACTCTGGGAGCCATGTTCCAGCATATCTTCGGACTTTTTCAATTTTATCAACAAGTATTTTTTTTATGCCAACACCACACTACTACAACAATAACTGTTTTGAATCACATTAACACATACAAGACCATGGCAATAACTCAAGGTACACTTGATCACACGTTTCTTTGATTTCAATTCATTACATAAAATGATTGCAATTCATTACATAAATTTATACAAATTACAAAACAGCATGTTACAAACTCCATCGAAATCTATTCACATTTGGTGGTTATACAGAAGAATTTTTAACTATGCATGCCTGATGGACATTTCTCAGCACTGTACTGAGCATTGTTTTATAGAGGCCATCTCTACAGTGATTATGTGTGAGTGAGGTGAAAGTGTTGAATAATGATGAAAATATTTTCTTTTTGGGGATTTTCTTTCTTTTTGGGTCACCCTGCCTGGGTGGGAGACGGCTGACTTGTTAAAAAAAAAAATCTCTACAATTTGTAATTTTTCATCTAAAAGCTGTTTTGAAGTTTGCCATTATAGGATATGAGTTTCTTACAATGTGTGTGTGTTCATCTTTGCAAATATACAGGGTCTAAAGCCAGCAATGAACAACAAAATACTTTTCATCAGTGGGCTGCTCAAAGAGTGAAATGCAATGTTTGCGGGTTTCACAAAGACCCTCCATAAAGGATCACTCTGACAATGAAATACGGTTCTTAGGATATAACTTAAACAGATGCGACAGAGCGAACAGGCAAAAAGGGGAAGGCATTGGCATGTACATCACAGAGTCACTCCTATGCTCAGAACTGCTAAACACCTCGAATGATGTAGTCAGAGTTTTGGCAGTAAAGATCGAGAACCAAAACCTTGTCATTGTGAGTTGTATACAAGCCTCTGGATGCAACTTCCCAACAATTCCAGGAACAGTTTTTGAAAATCGACTAGTGTGGAAAATCTTCCAGCTTCTGCCCCATACATCTTGCTGCTGAGGGATTTCAACTTAAGACACCTAAAATGGAGGACTGTAGCAAATAATGTTTTAGCAGAGATAACCCCAGAAGGCAGCTCAGATGAAAATTCACACACACGAGCTATTAAATCTCTGCACCAAATTCACCTTAAACCAGCAAATAAAAGAGCCAATAAGACTGGACCTCATCTTCACTAACAATGATGAATTGATATGAAATATAATTGTACAAAAGACAATACACTCAGATCACAACATAATGGAGGTACAGACATATATGAGGAGGGCCCCAGACCAGCAAGATGTGATCGGTCATGAGGGTGCCTTCAAATTCAACTTCAATAATTAAAGCATACAGTGAGGTAGTCAACCATGTAATAAATGAAACAAGCTGGGAAGATATCCTAAACAACATAGACCCAAACCGCTGCCTAGAAAGAATTAACTCTGGCACTTGACATATGCTCAAGGCATATTCCTTTAAGAAAAAAAAAAAGAGATGATGTAAACTAAAAAGATAGAGATGCTCCCTATACAGGCAAAGGAGAGGAATCACAGAGCTGCTGAAAGGGGCAAGTATATCTGATATACGAAGAGAAGCAGTGGCCAGAGAAATAGCAAATATCGAACTTAAGCTTAGAGAATCTTACAAGAGACAAGAACTCGAGAACAAAAAGCCATAAATGAAAGTGAAAGAAACTCAAAATATTTCTTTTCTTATTCCAAATCTTAGGCAAAAACAATATCCAGTATTGAACCCTTGCTTAGACGAGATGGGACTAACAGATGACAGAAAGGAAATGAGTGAATTACTAAAGTTCCAGTATGACTCAGTGTTCAGTGAGCTGCTAACCAGACTAAGAGTTGATGACATAAATGAATGGTTACTCAAACATCTCTAATATTATTCTAACACCACATGACTTCCAAAAGGCAATAAATGACATGCCCGTGCACTAAGTCCCAGGCCCAGACTTGTGGAACTCTGTGTTCATCAAGAACTTCAAGAAGCCCCTATCATGTGCCTTTAGCATTCTATGGAGAGGGACCATGGACACAGGGGGTCATCCCACAGTCACTAAAAACAACTGACATAGCTCCATTCTACAAAGGGGGCAGTAAAGCAATAGCGAAGAATTACAGACTGATAGCACTAACGTCCCACATCATAAAAATCTTTGAGAGGGTTCTAAGAAGCAAGACTGCCACCCATGTAGATACCCATCAGTTACACAATCCATGGCAACATAGGTTCAGAGCAGGCCACTCCTTTCTGTCCCTATGACAAGGTCCTGGATACTTTAGAGGACAGACAAAATGCAGATTAGTATACAAATACTTTGCGAAAGCCTTCGACAAGTGCAACCATGGTCTAATAGTGCACAAAATGCATGATAAAGAAATAAAAAGAAAAGTTAGCAGTTGGATCTATAACTTCCTAACAAATAGAACACAAAGAGTAATAGTAAACAGAGTAAAGTCTAAGGTAGTTCCAGTGAAAAGCTCTGTTCCACAAGGCACAGTACTCGCCCCCATCCAGTTCCTTATCCTCATATCTGGCACAGACAGAGATGTAAGCCACAGCACCATGCCTTCCTTTGCAGATGACACACAAATTTGCATGAGTGTCCTCCATCAAAGACATGGCAAGACATCAACCAAATCTTTAAATGGGCCGCAGAAAACAATATGAAGTTCACTGAAGAGAAATTTCAATTAGTATCCAGATATGGAAAAACTTGAAGAAATTAAAAATATATCGGTGTATAAAATAAATTCCAATCACACAACAGAGTGGAAAACTAATATGAAGGACCTAGGGCTGATAATGTTAGAGGATCTCACTTTCAAAGAGAAGGTACAGAGAACCTACAAGGTACACACAAGTACAATAAAACACCTAAATTACTGGGAATGGTTGAAGTTCCTTGGCTTATATTTCCTGGATGCAGGCGAGAGACAGATACATGATAATATATACTTGGAAAATTCTAAAGGGATTAGTACCAAATTTGCACACGAAAATCACTCCCACTGAAAGCAAAAGGCTCAGCAGGCAATGCAACATCCTCCCAATGAAAAGCAGGAAAGCCACGAGTACACTAAGATAGACAAACACCAAAAGTGTCAGGGGACCAAGAATGTTGAACTGCCTCCTAGCATACATAAGGGGGATTACCAATAGACCCCTGGCTGTCTTCACGAAGACACTGGACAGGCACCTAAAGTCAGTACCTGACTAGCAGGGCTGTGGTTCATACGTCTGTTTACGTGCAGCCAACAGTAACAGCCTGGTTGATCAGACCCTGGTGCACCACGAGGCCTGGTCACAGACTGGGGCACAGGGGCACTGACCCCCAAAACCCTCTCCAGGTATACTCTAGGTGTGTGTGTGTGGATGACCATATAACATCAATTACACCACATGAAGCTCTCACTCTCCATTTGTCTACTCACAAATTATTGGCATTCCTTGTAACTCAGGCAGCTGATATTCCATCTTCAGCAACAGGGGCTCACGTCCATCTATTTTATCTTCCTAGAAACAGAAAAAACGTACATAAAATTCTTCCCATTTCAGCTGTAACTGCACATCATATATAAGGCCATCATATAACATGAGGATTTTTTTTTAACACATAACTGCTGTCTTCGCAGAGGCACCTAGATACAAGTTTAGATGTCACTCCAAACAGCCAATATCCCAAACCACCCCTCCTTTACAGTACAGGCATTATACTCGCACCTCCAGGACTCATTTCCAGCTAACCAGTTTCCCTGAATTCCTTCACAAATTATTACCCTGCTCACACTCCACCAGACTGTCATGTCCCAAAAACCATGCATCTCCACTCACTCTTATCTAACACCTTTAGTGTTTATGATACTGTATATGGGTCAGTATGTATTTGTATGTCAGTCAAATGAAAGTTAAAGAAGACAAAAATAATATATAGTTGACCCCTGAATAACACTGGTTTGAACTGAGAGAGTCCACTTGTATGAAGATTTTTTTTCACTAAATATACAATGGATCTTCCGTTTTCGTCGATCTCCGTTATCACTAATTTCGGTTTTGGCCGACATTTTTCATCGATTTTTTGGTTCCATTTTTGTTGATTACCTCCATTTTCATTGACTGTACAGAACCTGTCCAGTGCCCAGCGTGCAGACAAAGCCGCCTCCCACATGCATTCTCAGCCAGTGCAGCATTGTTTCTCGGCAAGTGAGCATATCCTGCCAGGTCATATGAAACGTTTCGTAATAATCCATTGTTTTTGCCACTTGTTTGTATGTGACTGCTAAATAAGCGACCATGGCCCCAAAGAAAGCTCGTAGTACCAGTGCTTTGTTAAAGAAAGTGAGGAACACTGTAGAACTTAAAAAAGAAATCAATTGTGCAATCAACTGTGGCATTGGGGAATTCCATGTGAGTGGCGAGGATGTGGAAGAGTTGGTGAATGACCACAATTAAGAGCTAACCACTGATGAGCTGAAAGAGCTTCATCTGCAACAGCAACAGATCACAGCACAGGAAATTGATGCAGAGGAGGAGGAAGAGAGATGGAAGCAGGTGCCTTCTTCAGAGATTAAGATTTGTGCAATATGGACTAGAGTGCAGTCATTTGTGGAGCAACATCACCCTGAGAAAGCTATTGCAATCCATGCTGGCGACTTTTACAATGACAATGCCATGTCCCATTTTAGGGAAATTTTAAAGAGATGCCAGAAACAGACCCATCTGGACAGATATTTTGTGCAACAGTGGTCCAGTGACTCTCAAGCTGGTCCTAATGGCATTAAAAAACAAAGGAGGGCAGTGACCCTAGATAAGGACTAGGTACCTACAGCCCTTATGGAGGGGTATTCCCCTTCTAAAGCATAAACTCTCTTCCCTCTCCCATCTTCCCTGTCTTCCTTCCAACAACAACAGCCTTCAATAAAGGTAAGTGTCATGTGTAATGTTCATTCTTTTGTGCAAGTAAATCTATCTTGAAGGTAAAAAAAAAAAAAATATTTGTAGATACTTCTGGGTGTCTGGAATTGATTAATTCCATTTACATTATTTCTTATGGGGAAAATGGTTTCGGCTTTAACTGATTTCAGTTTTGGCCGATTGTTCTGAAACGGATTAAACACAAAAACCAATGGTCCACTGTATTGGAAAATTTTTTGGAGATTTGCAACCAAAAAAGTTAAGAAAAAGTTAGGTGTTATGAATGCATATTGGCCCACTTCAGGCAAATCTTAAGAAGGTGCCAGAAACAAACCTCTCTGGACAGTTTTTTTGTGTGACAGGGGTCCAATGACTCTCAAGCTGGTCCTAGTACCATTAAAAGACAAAGAAGGGAAGTAACCCCAGAGAGGGACTTGATACTGGAGGGGGATTCCCCTTCTAAACAATAACCTTTCCTCCTCCCTCTCCCCTCCTCCCTGTCTTCCATATGCCAACAAGAGTCTTCAATACAGGTATGTAATAATAATTTAAATGTTAATTGTTTTGCATATGTTAAACTTTACAAAATTATTTTTTTTTATTATTTTTGGGTGTCTGGAACGGATTAATTGTATTTACATTAATTCTTAGGGGAAATATTGCTTCGAATTTAGGCCAACCTTCTGGAACGGATTATAGCCAATATTCAGGGTTCCACTGTATCTTTTAAATTTTGATGTCTAGTGTTAGTAATATGTATAACATCTACAATGTTTTACACATTATCTTTTAAATTTTGATGTTTAGTGTTAGTAATATGTATAACATGTATAATATGTTTTTTAATCATTTTTTTTTATTTTATTAACACATCGGCCAATTCCCACCAAGGCAGGGTGGCCCGAAAAAGAAAAACTTTTATCATCATTCACTCCATCACTGTCTTGCCAGAGGGGTGCTTTACTCTACAGTTATAAAACTGCAACATTAACAGCCCTCCTTCAGAGTGTAAACGCTGTACTTCCCATCTCCACTGGAACTGGAGTCCTGCAGCAAATGGTTAGTAGACAACAAACTATCATTACACCTCGGGAAAACTGAAGCCATTCTCTTTGGCACGAAACATAAACTGTGAAGGGTAAATAATTTTAATGTACAGTGTAATGGGGAGCCCATCACTTTGGTTTCATCAGTAAAATATCTGGGAATCCCCTTTGACCCATGCATGTCAGGAGAATCGATAGGGAACAGTGTAGTAAAGAAAGCGAATGCCAGACTGAAGTTCCTGTATAGACAAGCACAGTGTCTACCTACTGAGGCTCGCAGGACGCTATGTCTAGCCCTTATACAATGCCATATGGATTACGCATGCTCTTCATGGTACTCTGCCTTGACAAAAAAACTGAAAGATAGACTACAAATCACCCAGAACAAAATCGTAAGATTCATCCTGGGGCTGAGACCAAGAGAACATGTAGGCCAGGATGAATTACAGCAGTTGGATATGCTGAATGTTGAAGACAGAGTAAAACAACTGAAGCTAAATCATGTTTATAAAATTGCTCACAAACAGTGTCCACAATATCTTGCTGTCAATTTTGTCAAGGTTGGGAACCAAAGCAATCATAGTACTAGGGGGAGAGAGCACAACTTTGTAGTACCCACAGTCATTGGCCAGGCATCAAACACCTTTTATTGTACAGCAATAAAGGAATGGAACAGACTACCCGCACATGTCAAAGCCAGTCATAGCATGAACCAGTTCAAGAAGAGTGCCAAAAGGTGTCTGATGAATGTAGCTACAGAAAGGGAGGGGAATGATTTTCTATTTTTTAGCTAACATACGTGTAAATTTTACCTTATTCCTAGTAATGACCCTCGTATTGTAGATAGTCTTAATGACCCTCGTGTAGTAGATAGTCTTTTTAGTATGATAATAAGATGTTATCTTCATTATAGAATAATAAGAAAATATTATAACCTTTATATTATAATAATAAGGTAAAAGGACCCCAATGGAAATAAGTCACTCAGTCTGACTTTTTTGGGTTATCCTAGGTTCTCTACACATATGCTGCTATGTATGATAATTCTATGTAACTGTATTTGTGCATACCTGAATAAACTTACTTACTTACTTACTCCAGGACTCAAGTCCGGCCTGCTGGTTTCCCTGAATCCCTTCATAAATGTTACTTTTCTCACACTCCATCATATAAGACAATAATGATGTAGGTATTGGCAGACAATTCATCTTGTAAACAGACGATGCAAATCTATGGTATCAATAAATACAGTACAGTACTGTAAATGTATTTTCTCTTCCTTATGATTTTCTTAATATTTTCTCTTCTCTAGTTTGCTTTATTGTAAAAATATAGTATATAATACATATAACAAACAAAATATGTGTTAATCAACTGCTTATGTTATTGGCAAGGCTTCCAGTCAACAGTAGGCCCTTAGCAGTTGAGTTGTTGGGGAGTGAAAAGTTATACACGGATTTTCAACTGCACAGGAGGGGGTTGGGGTGTAAACACCCCTAACCCCCATGTTGTTCAAGGGTCAACTGTATAGTACTTCTCAAAACAGTTGTAAATAGAACAGAATAAAGTATTTATTTATTATTATTTTTATTAATACATCAGCCGATTCCCACCAAGGCAGGGTGGCCAGAAAAAGAAAAACTTTCACCATCATTCACTCCATCACTGTCTTGCCAGAGGAGTGCTTTACACTAGTTATAAAACTGCAACATTAACACCCCTCCTTCAGAGTGCAGACACTGTACTTCCCATCTCCAGGACTCTAGTCTGGCCTGCCAGTTTTCCTGAATCCCTCCGTAAATGTTACTTTGCTCATACTCCAACAGCACATCAAGTATTAAAAACAATTTGTCTCCATTCACTCCTATCAAATATGCTCACACATGCTTGCTGGAAGTTCAAGCCCCTTGCACACAAAACCTTCTTTACCCCCCTCCCTCCAACCTTTCCTAGGCCGACCCCTGCCCCACCTTCCCTCCACAACAGATTTATACACTCTTGAAGTCATTCTGTTTTGTTCCATTCTCTCTACATGTCCGAACCACCTCAACAACCCCTGCTCAGCCCTCTGGATAATAGTTTTGGTAATCTCACACCTCCTCCTAATTTCCAAACTATGAATTCTCTGCATTATATTCACACCACACATTGCCCTGAGACCTGACATCTCCACTGCCTCCAGCCTTCTCCTCATTGCAACATTCATCACCCATGCTTCACACCCAGATAAAAGTGTTGGTATAATTATACTCTCATACATTCCCCTCTTTGCTTCCATGGACAAATTTTTTTGTCTCCACAGACTCCTAAGTATGCCACTCACCCTTTCCCCCTCATCAATTCTATGATTCACCTCATCCTTCATAGACCCATTTGCTGAAAAGTGTTCACCATTTGTTGAGGAATTAAAAACTTAAAATGGTCTGTTTATATTTAAACTTCTCCAGTCTTGTTGTAAAGGCAGACTGTCAACAATAATGAAGAAAAGGGAATAACTAGCTTCTTACAGTTACATTATTTTTCTCTATGTCAAGCTCTACATAGGTGTAAAATGTGGCCACAATAAATATTTTGCTCTACACCTATGTCATTTCTTGACTATGTTATTCAATTTGTTTCCTACACTGACACATACCTTGACTGTAACTGCATATTGTTTACACACAGCTTGTCCATAGGTGATGGAGCTATCAAACACTTGGGTATAGGCACTGGTATCTGTGAAGAAAGCTCGTGGAGGCAGAAATCCATAATCAAGAGATATGTTACCCTGGATAGCTGTAAATAAAAAAGTAATTTACATATATAAAAATGTATTCAATAAGTAAGTTTACTAATTAAAGTAAGTGCATTATCTACAAAATGTTTTAAAGTTTATTTAAACAGTAAAGCCTATACATACTGTATTTTAACCCGTAAACGGTCCAAACGTATACATATATGTATACGTTCACTACCCCATTGCCCCGAATATTTTGAAAAATAAACATTTTTTTTTATTGAAAGAAAGAGCACATTTTTTCTAAGTGTTATAGGATAAAAAAAAAAATTTAGGGTCAGTACTTACCGAGATATGAGGCCTCAAAGTTGGCACTTGGAGATCACCTGGTGGCAACATGGAGCACTGCTGCTTGCAGAAGTGTTGCTAATATATCTTTTTTCCATTTTTTCATATTATTTTATATAATTTTTATGTTCTGATAATTACAATTTATAGTAGCTCTTGTCATTTCATAACTAATCTTTGTTCTGATACTAGTATTAGGTACTGAAATTGTACTCACACTGTCACAAACACATTGACAGGAGGACATTTACATCTGCCTTGGTCATTTACTATTGTCTTGGAATAACCATCCAACTTACGACCGAGTTTGGTGCCGAGAAACCGGTTGTAAGTCTAAATGGACGTAAGTCGAACTTTACTACTGAATATCAACATATTTTTGTAATGACTTTATTTTATTGTTTTATTTTGGTATTTCATGTTTTACTTTACTTTTTATGCTGTTAGTACTGTATTTTATACTGTAAGGTTTAGGATAAACACTGTGTACAACACAAACACTTGTTTATTTCCAAGAAATTTGGCATAAAAAACACGGTCGTAAGTCGAGTCGTCGTATGTCGAGCAGGTCGTAAGTCGGATGGTAGGTGTATATACAAAGTATTTATAGGTCCCAGCAATGTTTTGGATATGTGGAAGTAGATGATGATGATGACGACGACGACGACGAAAGAGGAGGAAGTGGAGGAGGAGGAAGAGGAGGAAGAAGAGGAGGAGGAGGAGGAAGAGGAGGATGAGGAAGAGGAGGAGGAGGAAGAGGAGGAAGAAGAGGAGGAAGAAGAGGAGGAGGGAAAGGAGGAGGAGGAAGAGGAGGAGGAAGAGGAGGAGGAGGAAGAGGAAGAGGAGGAGGAGGAGGAAGAGGAGGAGGAGGAGGAAGAGGAGGAGGAAGAAGAGGAGGAGGAGGAGGAGGAAAAGGAGGAGGAAGAGGAGGAGGAGGGGGAGGAAGAGGAAGAGGAAGAGGAGGAGGAGGAGGAGGAGGAGGAGGAGGAGGAGAATACGTAATAATAATAAAATAATAAGTTCCCTTGAAGCATGAAAAACAAAGTCCACCCCTGACAGTGACGTGAAAAGATGAGATAACATTTGATAAGAGCTGACGTTTGATGAGCATTCGCAAGGGTGCAGTGATAAGACTTGACAAGAAAAGATTAGGGCCTGCTTTGTTTTTGCTGGTACACAAACATGTCTGTCTATTTGTCTGTCAAGCTCCCTGTCTATCTGTCTAGCTCTCTGTCTCACAGAGCCACAAGACTGGGTCATCACGTTTACTCATATCTTCAAGCAGAGTATAGCACTTTGTCTGGATTTTTTGGGTTATCCTAGGTAATTTACACTATATATACTTGTATTTATCAATCAATCAATCAAGTTTATTCTCTATAAGGATTACAATGTGGGGTTTACAGATTTTGAATATTGTGTGGTTTACATGTTTTAAAATACTAATTACAGAGGAGGCCACTAGGACACCTAGCATGGCTAGGCATTTCGGGCAGACTTAGATTAATTCTAAACTTTAAATTATTACAGATTATGGTATTAAGGCTAAGTGACTACATTATAGTTTGTGAGTTTAGCAATGTGAATGCTTTTGTTTTGGCACAATACATAGTGTCTATATTGGAGTATCATAGGCAAACTCATGACTAGTTAGGATTCACTATTTTAAGATTAAGATTCGTATTTCTGTGTTTATAGTCAATGAGTGAAAGTGTGAACCACCAGGTGGTTTACATGTAGTTAGTTGACGGGGTGTATCAGGGAGATAAGATGTTTTCTAACTGTAGTTTTGAAAGTGATTAATGTGTCTGCAGTTCTAGAGTTTTCAGGTAAGGTGTTCCAGATTTTAGGCCCTTTGACACACACTGAATTTTTGTAAAGGTTTCGTCGGACACGGGGAATGTCATAGAGATGTTTGTGTCTGGTGTTATGCCGGTGGGTCCTGTCACAACTATCAAGAAAGCATTTGAGGTCAAGGTTAATATTGGAATTTAAGGTCCTGTAGATGTAGATTGCACAGTAGTAAGTGTGGATGTTCTGAACAGGGAGTAAGTTTAGATCTATGAAGAGTGGGGGGGGGGGGGTGTTGCCAGGGATGGGATTTAGTGATTATTCTTATTGTGGTTTTTTGTTGGGTTATTATTGGCTTTAGATGTGTTGCTGCAGTTGATCCCCAAGCACAAATAGCATAGGTGAGGTATGGATAAATGAGTGAATGGTATAGTGTGAGAAGGGCAGTTTGCGGCACGTAATATCATATCTTGGAGAGGATCCCCACCGTTTTGGATACTTTTTTTGTTACGTGTTGGATATGGGTGCTGAAATTTAGGTCGTTGTCGAGGTATAGACCTAGGAATTTGCCCTCATTATGTCTGGCAATTAGAGTGTTGTCGATCTTAAAGTTAATTTGCGCATCTTCTGCTCTGCTACCAAACATAATGTAGTAGGTTTTGTCAGTGTTAAGTGTAAGTTTATAGGCTGTCATCCAAGTCAGAATTTTGAGCAGCTCCTCGTTGACAATGGTGTTGAGGGTGGGAAGATTAGGGTGGGAGATGACGTAAGTCGTGTCATCAGCAAAAAGAATGGGTTTCAGGTGTTGGGATACGTTTGGAAGATCATTAATGTAAATGAGGAAGAGCAGGGGACCAAGGACACTTCCCTACGGAACTCCAGTATCAAGTGGCCATGCTGATGAGGCTGTGTCTTTAATGGTGACATACTGATACCTATTAGTAAGGTAGGATTTGAAATATGCAAGCGCATGGCCTCTTATACCATAATGGTCAAGTCTGTGGAGTAAGATGCAGTGGTCTACTGTGTCAAATGCTTTTCTTAGGTCAATAAAAATTCCTAGCGGATATTCCTTATTTTTCAATGCTGTGTAAAGCAGATCTAGCATTTTTACAATTGCATCATTAGTGCTTTTATTTTTCCTGAATCCAAACTGGCAGGGGTTGAGTATGTTTTGTGCTGTTAAAAATGAATATAGTCTCCTGTGCACGAGTTTCTCGAAGATTTTGGATAGCAATGGTAAGTTTGATATTGGCCTATAGTTGTTTACATCTGTAGGGTCACCACCTTTATGTATTGGTGTAGCCCTTGCTGTCTTAGTGTCGGGAAAGTGCTAGTTTCTAGTGACTTGTTAAAAAGTAATGTAATAGCATGTGAAAGGACATGGGCCGCTCGCTTGTACAATACAGTATTGGTGGGACGTGAGACAGATTCCCTGAGTTATTTTTGAGTGACTTTATAATTGCGGTGACTTCCGTGGGCTCACTTGGTACAAGATAGAGGGAATTTGGAAAATTCCCATCTAGGTAGTCCCCGGCACGGGTGTTGGTACATGGGATTTTACTGGCGAGATCAGATCCTATGTTTGAGAAGAAGTCGTTTATCTTGTTAGCTGTGTTAGTGGGATGCAGTGGTGTTTCATTAGGTTTGGTTAGGACAATATTCTTGGTTTTATTTCAGTTTGTGGGTCCCCAGAATCTGGGAAAGTGTTTTTCCAGGTCTTTTTTATATCTCCTCCTATGTCAGTGAATCTGCTGGAGTAGTACAGTTGTTTGGCTTTCTTTATTAATTTGGTGAGAACTGATGAATATTGTTTAAGAATATCTTTGTGTATTAAGCCCTGTCTATATTGCTTTTCATATTGGTGTTTCATATCAATGGATTTCAGAATGCTGCTGGTTAGCCATGGGCAACCGAGCTGTTTATTCGTGATCTGTTTCATTTTTACAGGACAATGTTTGTTGTATAGTCTAAGTATTTTGTTAAGAAAAGTGTTTGTCCAATCGTCAATCGTCAATGTGTACCTGTGAGACAGAGATAGACAGGCAGATAGAAAGAGATAGACAGAGGCAAACAGAGATAGACAGGGATAGACAGAGACAGATAGAGACAGAGACAGAGATAGCCATAGATACAGACAGACAAATGGAGATAGAGCCAGGCTGCCAGCAGCCGGCCAGCCACACAGCTGGCTGCCATGCAGATGGCCAGCCAGCTAGCCAGCCAATCAGCCAGTCAGCCAGCCAGCCAGCCAGAATTGTTTCTCTTTACTTAGGGCATACGTTATAAGACTTTCTGAAAGTGTTGCACAAATATTGCACATGGGTTATTATGGAGTTTTTTTTTATATTTCCTCAGCCACTTTTGGCCACATCTACCTCAAAGTCACTAAACTCAGGGTCAAAATCACTTTCCTCTTAAAATGGGAGTGTTAATACTACATGACATCAGTGAATCCAAGGTGTTTGCTGCGCTGTTTGCTCTAGCTGGCACTCATTTGAACTGGTGCTCCCACTAGGCACTAAGGGGTCCCAGATTTTTTTAATACAACGCACACTGAGTGTTAGAACCCACTCTATGCTGACAAGGCATCTCAGGCCAATTGTGCCAAATTTGAAGGCAGGAAAAATAAAACGTATAAATATATACGTTTGGGGCACTAGCGGTAAAAACGCATATATATACGTTTACGGGTTAATAATTCTGTATCCTAGCTACAGAAAAAGCATTAAGATAAAAGCTGAAAGAAAGGGAAAACAAGATAAAAACACTTGTGTGTAAAAACCACAGTCTTAACAGGTTGTACGTATTAGACAACCTCAAGTCCTGGCTGTGGCAGACCACTGCAGGTATTGAGTGTGTATATCATACAGATTTTAACACTGTGGTAAACTATTACAGTTTTAAGTGTGTGTACTCGCCTAATTGTGGTTGCAGTGGTCAAGATTCAATGGTACCTTGGGATATGAACTTAATTCATTCCGGAAGGCTGTTCGAGTGCTGATACCAAACGAATTTGTTCCCATAAGGAATAATGTAAATTCGATTAGTACCGAACGAATTTGTTCCCATAAGGAATAATGTAAATTCGATTAGTATGTTTCAGACCCCCAAAAATACACTTATAAAAGCACTTATACAAATACACTTGCATAATTGTTCGTGTTTTGAGCTGTTCACATCCCGAGGTACCACTGTATTTCTGTTTTTATCACCTTTGTATTTTATGGCTCATTAACAATAGGTATATTTATTGTCATTTTCTTTATTGCTTTTTCATTGACCTATTTGTTTTATTATTGAAAATCTTTATTTCTATAAAGTATAATATGAAACTGATAAAGAAATAAGTAACATATTCAACAGACTTAATTGGAAAGCTTCTGGTTATACATAGCATTTCTGAATAAACTTATACCATTATGAAGAGGCACATTACATGTATGACTTACAGAAATGCCTTGGAACTTTATAGCCTTTATATTCGATACATGCTGAGAGCTGGAAGGCCTTGTCTTTCAGGGATATAGTAGGTGGTGAGGCAGTCAGGTAGCCTGTGAGGGTTGCCACTGGACGAGTCTTTATCACAACGACGTGGCCAGATATAAAACTGCCAATCGCCAAATCTAGAATTTAAGAATAAAGGTGAATTTGCCAAATTATACAAGAATATAAAAAGACTACCCTTAGCTTTCTTCCTTTCTCTCTCTTTCCCCTCTCTCTCACTCCTGCTTTCTATCTCTCTCTCTCTTCATCCTAACTTCCCCCCTCTCCTCCCTTTATTTTTCCCTTTCCTGTGTACCAGGAGGGGAGTAGACAAATCTTAGGTTTTTGTAATAACTATTGTTATCAAATCCTATACAGAAATACACTTCATACTAGAAAAATTATATATTTTCATTATATTCATTTATTAGTGTGATATTAGGGGAATCAGTTGGGAGAAATTACAGTATGTATAACTAATCACAGCAATTTGTTTTGATGTAAAGTAATTTTGCAATATTTCATGTTTTTAATATCTGTTATATAAGAATATCATAAAATTATAAATAATATACTGCATTTTTTACTGAGAATTACCATTTCAGATTTACAATAGTATATATTAAATCATTTTAGCCATAAAAAGCCAAATTATAATACTAACCTGGATAGTCATTGTTGTCAATGTCAATTCCTCGAGACAAAGCCATACCAAATCCTGAGAGCTGGTCTGGGAAAGTCTCTGGAGTAATTCTTTGTGAATACTTTTGCCTCAGCCCACCAGCAGAGCCCATGTAAACATACACTGCACCATCTCCCTCCCATGGTGCTCCCACTACCACATCTAGAAGGTCAACAATTTGTATAGTAAAATGATTTACGTATTAATAATATGGCAGTGGCCTACAGAATAATACCCAAGACTACCTCAATGATCATTTTCAAAAGGAAAACAGAAACATTATAAAAAAAATTATATGTAATTTTTAAATTTTCATTCTCATATCTGACAGAGATGTAAGCCACAGCACAGTGTCCTCCTTTGGTGACAATACCAGAATTTCCATGACAGTGTCGTCCATTGAGGACACTGCAAATCTCCAAACAGACATTAACCAAGTTTTTAAATGGGCCTCAGAAAATAATATAAAGTTTCAATAAATCCACTATAGAAAACCTGAGGAAATAAAAACTGGATCAGAGCATAAAACAAATTCCAACCACACGAGAGAGCGAAAAAATAATGTGAATGACCTGGGAGTGATAATGTCAGAGGATTTCACTTTCAAAGATCACAATGATGTAACTACCACATCTGCTAGGAAAATGAGAGGATGGATAATGAGAACCTTCAAAACTAGGGATGCCAAGCCCATGATGATTCTCTTCAAATAGTTTGTTCTCTCTAGGTTGGAATATTGCTGTACACTAATGGCCCCTTTCAAGGCAGGCAAAACTGCAGACCAGGTGAATACACAGAGAATATTTTCATGGTACATATAAGTACAATAAAGAACACAGATTACTGGGAATGGTTGAAATCCCTTGATCTGTACTCCCTGGAATGCTGGTGAGAAAGATACATGATAATAAACATCTGGAAAATCTTATAGGGACTAATCACAAATCTACACATGAAAATCATTCCTACAAAAGCAAAAGATTTGGCAGGAGATGCAACATCCCCTCAATGAAAAGCAGGGGTGCCATGAGTATGTTAAGAGACAACACAATAAGTGTCAGGGCCTGAAGACTGTTCAATTGCCTACCAGCATACATAAGGGGGATTACCAATAGACCCCTGGCCGTCTTCAAGTAGACACAGGAGAGGCACCAAAGTTAGTTCCTGACCAGCCAGGCTGTAGCTCATACGTCAGTTTATATGTGACCAGCAGTAACAGCCTGATTGATCAGGCCCTGATCCATCATGAAGCCTGGTCACGAACTGGCCCGCAAAGTCATTGATCTTGATACTCCCTCCAGGTAACAGATAAGTAGCATGTGGTAGGATATTTTGTGGTGATGCTCAGGGCATAAGTTATACATATTGAAAACTCTATGCTGTATTATAGATAATTAAGTGTGTAAATGTCAAAAAGTACATATTAAGTATGATTGGATGTAGAGCACATGGCAAGCCTAAATTTACTCAATTTGATGAAGATTCTGTAAGGTAAAACTTTGAAAAAATTATTTACAATGTAGATGGTGTACATTTTAAAATTTTATTTTGTAATTTATTTACAATATAGATTTTTCTTTAAATTCTAGTTTATACATATTACTGGTGTAGAGTACTTATTGCTCGTGCTTCTTTAGTTATGTCTAAAAATAAAACATTTAATCCCAACACAAAACTAATAACACTGGTGAATGGCACAACTGAGCCAACATGGAGAAAATTAAATAGACAAGAGTGCCACAGTAGGCTAAAACATTTTGGGCGGGTTACCTTTCTAAAATCGGAACTACAGTAAAATCTCGATAAAAGAGAACTCAGTAAAGAGGATATGAGATAAAACGGACAAGAAATATGACGACAATGGTTCAATGTGTCTGCAATGCAGCAGATGAAATCTGCTATATTGCACAAATGTTTGGTCTAGTCATACCATCAATAAAGTTGACCAAGTTTGATTAATCACTAGTTTGTTCGATTAAGGCTTTGTTATAGACACATCAATTTTCATTGTTCCTGTGCAATGGGGCCAGTGATTCAGCTCACATCAGTTTGTTATTGTCTGAGTATGCACTTACTTTCTATCATTATTTCATTTCCATTTCCAATTTTTTCTTGATTTACAATGTTTTCTGTTATTGTATTCAAGTGCCATGTACAGTGTTATTAACAATGGCCTCTAAAGCAAGTGATGGTGCCAAGAAACGTTTGACCTTAACTGTCAAGCAGATGGTGTGGTCTTCTATACCATCTGCAATGTTACTGCTACAGCTTTACACACAAGAAATTATTCTAGGTATGAATCACCACTAGATCACGAACTTTCAGATGCACAGTATTCCCATATAATTGCCGGAAAAGGTAAGAAAAATTACTCTACTCTACTCAAACTGTATTGTACTGTACTTTTAACTCTTTCCTTTTCAGGTACATGTACAGCTGTACTGTACAGTAATATTGTACTCTAGTCTTGGTATGTCCAGTAGTCTATCAGTATAGTGGACTAAGTTCAACTCACTGGGCTTCTGTTTATGTCCAGTAGTCGATTAAGCAGACTATGTCCACAATGTAAGTGGTAATGGTAACACAGTGCCTGGACACATGAAACGTGGCAGTCTACTAAATATTTAGTGGTAGATTACAATATGGGTTGACTGACAAATAGACTCAGCAATTATAAGGAAACACATCTTATAGAGAAGTCTTTATTCTGATAATGTTACATTCAGTGTCAAGCTTTATCATCATGCCTTGACAGGTTGACTTATGACTTGACTCATGACTTGGTAAAGCTCAACAGTGAAAATGCTCTCTATCTCTTAACCTTATTTGCTCCATGTGGGTTCATTTGTACCTAAATAAGTAACATTCAGTGACGATGAAAACACATTAAGTCACACAATTAAACCTTTAAGAAGAATGGCTTACCTTGGAAGCCATCAGCATTAAGGTCACCAGGAGAAGCCAGGGTGGTGCCAAACCTGGCATTGCGGGTTTGGGATCCAAAGTAGCCAATGTTTAATAACTCTGGTACTTGATTCTGTATTAAGATTAGTACAATTATAACAAAAGCTGGAATGGAATTTATTACATACCATTTTATATTTATGTAAACAAATATGAAAGATTTCTGTCTGTGGGCAGTTCCATGAACCACTTATTGCCTTAATTTATCATTCATTAAAGAACATTCAAGAACTGCATGCAGATGATGAAATTTATAGCATAATAAGAAGCTTACCCTACTGCTGAGATAGACCTGAATTTTACCCATATCAGGAATATCTGGTAGGGAGTACATTGGGGAGCCCACCACCAGATCACTAAGTCCATCACCATTTATGTCAGCAGCAGCAAGTGCTGCTCCAAAGTTCTCTCCTAGCTGTGTGCCCTGCCACTCTGCTATCACAAACAAGCTTTGAGATTCATGGTCAGGGAAAGCGAAGATAAGAACCTGGAACATAAAATTTCAAACAAATACAACAGTGAAGAAGAGTTAAACACACAAAAAACCATACAGAGTGTGGTTAGTGGGAGGCAACTGAGGTTGATCTGAGGAAGGGAAAGGTACATTCACTTCCATGTATCTAAAGCACTTTACCAGTGTCAAGACAAGAATCTTACAGAAAGAACTCTATTATATTATTTATTATCAGTACTGTATTTTATTACTAATTTCAGGTATTGTCAAATTATTGTACTTTTTTTTTTTAAACACGTCGGCCGTGACTCAAGTCCGGCTAACTGGTTTCCCTGAATCCCTTCACAAAATATTACCCAGCTCACACTCCAACAGCTCATCAGGTCCCAAAAACCATCAGTCTCCATTCACTCCTATCTAACATGCTCACGCACACTTGCAATACATAAAGGTGGTGACCCTACAGATGTAAACAACTATAGGCCAATATCAAACTTACCATTGCTATCCAAAATCTTCGAGAAACTCATGCACAGGAGACTGTATTCATTTATAATGGCACAAAACATACTCAACCCCTGCCAATTTGGATTCAGGAAAAATAAAAGCACTAATGATGCAATTGTAAAAATGCTAGATCTGCTATACACAGCATTGGAAAATAAGGAATATCCGCTAGGAATTTTTATTGACCAAAGAAAAGCTTTTGACACAGTAGACCACGGCATCCTACTCCACAAACTAGACCATTATGGCATAAGAGGCCATGCGCTTGCATATTTCAAATCCTACCTTACTAATAGGTAGCAGTATGTCACCATTAAAGACACAGCATCATCAACACTGCCACTTGATACTGGAGTTCCACAGGGAAGTGTCCTTGGACCCCTGCTCTTCCTCATTTACATCAATGATCTTCCAAATGTATCCCAACACCTGAAACCCATTCTCTTTGCTGACGACACGACTTATGTCATCTCCCACCCCAATCCTGCCACCCGCAACACCATTGTTAATGAGGAGCTGCTCAAAATATCAACTTGGATGATAGCCAATAAACTTACACTTAACACTAACAAAACCTACTATATTATGTTTGGTAGCAGAGCAGGTGCTGCTCAACTTAACATTAGGATTGACAACACTCTAATTGCCAGACATAATGAGGGCAAATTCCTAAGCCTATACCTCGACAACAACCTGAATTTCAGCACCCATATCCAACATAACAAAAAAAGTATCCAAAACGGTGGGGATCCTCTCCAAGATACGATACTACGTGCCACAAAATGCCCTTCTCGCACTATACCATTCACTCATTTATCCATACCTCACCTATGCTATTTGTGCTTGGGGATCAACTGCAGCAACACACCTAAAGCCAATAATAACTCAACATAAAGCCGCAGTAAGAATAATCACTAAATCCCATCCCTGGCAACACACCCCCCCACTCTTCATAGATCTAAACTTACTCCCTGTTCAGAACATCCACACTTACTACTGTGCAATCTACATATACAGGACCTTAAATTCCAATATTAACCTTGACCTCAAATGCTTTCTTGATAGTTGACAGGACCCACAGGCATAACACCAGACACAAACATCTCTACGACATTCCCCGTGTCCGACTAAACCTTTACAAAAATTCAATGTATGTCAAAGGCCCTAAAATCTGGAACACCCTACCTGAAAACTCTAGAACTGCAGACACATTCATCACCTTCAAAACTACCGTTAGAAAACCTTTTATCTCCCTGATACACCCTGTCGACTAACTACATGTAAACCACCTGGTGGTTCACACTTACACTCACTCACTCACCCATTTGACTATAAGCATAGAAATACGTATCTTAATCTTAAAATAATGATTCCTAACTAGTCATAAGTTTGCCTGTGATACTCCAATATAGAAACTATGTATTGTGCCAAAACAAAAGCATTCACATTGCTAAACTAACAAACCAGTATTTAGTCACTTAGTATTTGGTCAACTTACTCCACAATTTGTAATAATTTAGGGTTAAGAATTAATCTAAGTTTGCCTGAAATGCCTAGCCATGCTAGGTGTTCTTGTGGCCCCCTCTGTAATTAGTATTTTATTACACGTAAACTACACAATAACCAAAATCTGTAAACCCCGCATTGTAATCCTTATAGAGAATAAACTTGCTGGAAGTCCAAGCCCCTCGCCTACAAAACCTCCTTTACCTCCTCCGTCCAACCTTTTCAGGACGACCCCTACCCCGCCTTTCTTCCCCTACAGATTTATACGCTCTCCAAGTCATTCTACTTTGCTCCATTCTCTCTAAATGACCAAATCACCTCAACAGCCCCTCTTCAGACCTCTGACTAATACTTTTAGTAACTCCACACCTACTAATTTCCACACTACAAATTTTCTGCATAATATTTACACCACACATTGCCCTTAGACAGGACATCTCCACTGTCTCCAGCCACCTCCTCACTGCAGCATTTACAGCCCATGCTTCACACCCATATAAGAGTGTTGGCACTACTATACATACTCTCGTACATTCCCTTCTTTGCCTTCATAGATAACGTTTTTTGTCTCCACACATACCCCAATGCACCAATCACCTTTTTTCCTTCATTAATTCTATGGTTAACCTCATCCTTCATAAACCCATCCACTGACAAGTCAACTCCCAAGTATCTGAAAACATTCATTTCTTCCATACACCCTCCCTCCAATGCAATATCAAATTTTTCTTTATCTAAATCATTTGATACGATCTGTTGGAGTGTGAGCAGGGTAATATTTAGTGAAGGGATTCAGGGAAACCGGTTATGTTCATATAGTCGGACTTGAGTCCTGGAAATGGGAAGTACAATGCCTGCACTTTAAAGGAGGGGTTTGGGATATTGGCAGTTTGGAGGGATATGTTGTGTATCTTTATACGTATATGCTTCTAAGCTGTTGTATTCTGAGCACCTCTGCAAAAGCAGTGATAATGTGTGAGTGTGGTGAAAGTGTTGAATGATGATGAAAGTATTTTCTTTTTGGGGATTTTCTTTCTTTTTTGGGTCACCCTGCCTCGGTGGGAGACGGCTGACTTGTTGAAAAAAAAAAAAAAAAAAAATTGATACCCTCATCACCTTACTCTTATCTATGTTCACTATCAACTTTCTACCTTTACACACCCTCCCAAACTCGTCCACTAACCTGTGCAACTTTTCTTTAGAATCCCCCAAAAGCACAGTATCATCAGCAAAATGTAACTGTGTCAACTCCCATTTTGTATTTGATTCATAACAATATAAGAATGGAGAAACACTGCACAAGGCCTACTGGCTCATACAAGGCAGGTCCTTATCAAAACCACCCCTACACTGAACTACCCAAGAATTTACTCCTGTACCCACAACACCAATCAAACCCAGCCCCTCCCACTTACGTATATATTTCTCCAATCTCTTTTTAAAGCTACCCAAGGTCCTAGCCTTGATCACCCTACTCGGAAGTCCGTTCCACATATCCACAACTCTGTTTGAAAACCAGTACTTACCTATGTCCTTTCTAATTCTAAATTTATCTAACTTAAATCCATTATTTAAATCCATAATTTAATCCCACCCCTTTCCCCAATGCCCTAGCATTTACTTCTTTTTACAACCCCATCTATAAATATGTTAAACAAACATAGTGACATTACACAACCCTGCCTAGGACCTACTTTTACTGGGAAGTAATCTCCCTCTCTCCTACACACCCCAGCCTGAGCCTCACTATCCTCATAAAAACTCTTTACACCATTTAGTAACTTACTACCTATTTTATTCATTTGCAACATCTGCCACATTGCTCCCTTATCCACTATATCATATGCCTTTTCTAAATCCATATTATTATACATTATTATACATATTATTTTATTATTTTTTTTATATTAACACATCCGCCGATTCCCACCAGGGCAGGGTGGCCCGAAAAAGAAAAACTTTCATCTATAACCTTATACATACAATATTCTGAATGCATAAAAAGTAATTTGCATGAAAAATCAACAGTAAAGCTATTAACGTCTAGAGACTGTATTGCATATCGATTTTGTGCACAATGATACATTATAATCACATATTTAATGTTCATAGTTACAATAAAATTATGGAAGTATTCTGTGCCAACATTCATACCTTGCCATGAGAAAGAGCGCCACGCGGTGCTCCACCAGCGTAAAGTATAGTATCCTCGGATATGAACCTTCCTGATGTAACAGCATAACCCATGAGATCAAAATCTCCAATATGTGCAGTGAAGTAAGGGTTAGGCACAAACTGACTGGTGAACATCTGACTCTCGCTTATTAGAGCTTGGCGGCGGCGACGACGCTTGGAGATCTCTCCTGGGACTGGAGGCTCAACATCTTTGTAACGAATTACTGTACCTATGTGGTTATTAGAATAGAACAACAGATCATCACTGATTTATGAGAAAATATAATGGCCACAGTTTATGCATTTTTTATTCATTATGATCTTTATTCCAATTTGTATTTCCATTAGGGTGAAAAAGTGCAAGGGGGAAAAAAAAGTCAACTAACTTATCTAAAGGAATAGAAAACTACATGAATTTGTTAATGGATGCTGCAAAAAACTTGTGCCAAATATGCAATAAAAATTATTATAAATCTTTGAAGATGACTTTGGTAGGTATATTGAGGAAATGGAAAAATGCAATTTAATGCTGAATGTCATGTGATACAATTAAGTCAAACTACATAAAGTGCATGTATAGATGGGTGACAAAATTTTGTGATTATCATACAAAGAAACACTTAGAAGTTTAAAAAAAATTGCCAGAGAACACATAAATGAAACAGTTAAAAAATGTATATGCTACACTGGTTAACAAGAAGGAAAGGTTAGGTAAGTATAGCTACCATAATTGTTGTATTAACCTTATAAAACATCACGTACCCAGTAGATCAGAGCAGGAAAACATAGTAGATTTAATGTTTAGTACATTAAACAGAAACAGCAAAAGTTTAAATTAATGTGCTTAGCGCTTCTTTTTGATTATAATAATAATAATAATAAATTAATGTGCACTAGTTTGATTTTAACTATACTGTACGTGCTACAAAAAACAAACTAGTGTAGCTTTTAAAATCCTTTAATTAGCACTGGTTGGATACCTTTCCAGTTAAAGACGCCTGGAGCTCCAATGATCATCTCTGTAGGATCGTCAGTAAAGTGCAATGACATTCCAGCTTCACCATGTGAGTAATAAAATAGGGCACGATCACCAATGTAGAATGTCTGTTTTGCTGTAGGGAAGATGAAACATATTAAAATTACAGGTAAAGTATATAACACAGTTATCATTTATGAGATTCTTATAGGTTTAACGCTTAGTTATGATTGTAATAATGTCTTTGGGTCTGCCCAAGCGAGATGCACCTGTGGGAGAAAATTACATCTATATTAAAAAACAAGAACACCACCAAAATTTCCTTCTTAGAAAATATGACAGCCTTGTATAACAGATGGGAAAATAAAATGAGTGGGTTGGATGAGGCAGTCTTGGAAGGCAGTGCACCAGATGGGGATGGCGTTGTCCTGGAGGATAGTGCACCAGATGAGGATGGAGTTATCCTTGAGGACAGTGCACCAAATGGAGACAGTGGCCCTGGTGATGAAACAGGTAAAGACAACATTATACAATTTCCAGAGGTACAAAGTAGCGATACTGCTGGAGATGGAACAACAGGGGATGTTGTCGCAGGGAATAGTGTTGACACATTACCAGTAAAAACTGGTGGAAGCGCTGATGTCCATACAGGGGCTGTAGGGAGTGGAGAAACAGAAAAAAATGCACCGATAGGGAATACAGCCACAAAAAATCCTGGCAAACAAAAATCCAATCTACGCAAATTCTATGCCTTGGGTATCTGCAGACATGGTATATCTGGAAAAAAAGGTGGGACATGTAACTCTGACCATCCCAAAAAATGCAGAACCCATATGACAATAGGAGGATGCAACTTTTCCTCTTGGAACTTATTTCACCTTTAGACATCAGGCACACCATCTAAAGGGGACAAGAAGATACAGATCACCCAGACCATGGGAAACAAAAGAGGGAAGCCAAAGCCTCTCCAATGAAGGAGATTTTTCAGTGCCAGGAAGGAAAAAAAGACTGGCAAGAAATGACAGAAATCCTACACCAACTGAAAAAGTTTTAGACTGGAGGGGCAGTCATTGGCCTCCACTCCAGAACAACAGATATTAATGCCAGCAAACAAAGCCCCCCTAAATTCCATCAATATAACGACATTTATCTTTGCAAACATACAGGGTCTAAAGCAGTGGTTCTTAACCTTTCTTGTCCTATGATTCCCCGAGACTCTTCAGGGTATTACCGTGACCCCTGTAATAAATTTTGAAATGATGAACCTTGTGAAAAGGTAAGATAAAACAAAATGATGGGAAGACCATGCTTTATTCAAAATGTTACAGAATAAAAACCTTGAAAAATTCCACATAGCCTCTACAAATGCCAGAACATTGCAAATTCCACAGAACTATTGAACATCGTACAAAACCTACTACTCATTCACTCAGTAGGAGGGTTGAAATTGTTTTGCAGCCATAAGTCCATCAAAGTGACGAGCAGTGCTCGAGAGGCAACACCTCATGTCAGCATCGATCACGGGCCTATTGCATGCCTTTGTTTTCAGTGTTACCACTGCTGAGAATTCAACCTCACAACGATAGGTTAATGGGGACTGGATCAACATGGTCAGTGCACGTATCGAAAGAATGGGACAGTCGTCCTGCACTTTTGCCCAAAATGTCGGGAGCTCTTGTTCAGTAAAGTCGACTTTCAGCTGAGAATCCTCACAAATCTGAGGAAATTCTACCTTAGCAGCAACATCAGTATCACTGATAGCACTGTCCTTGACTGAAAAGGGTTTGTAGATCACGCATCAGTACAGAAGTCGCCCAGTCCTGGAAAGTAACTTTTGATGGCGTCATTCACTGCCAAAAGATGAGCTGACATCTCCTCATGGAAACTGCATTCAGCATCTGGCATAGAATCCAGGAGAGTCGTCATCTGAGTTAAGAAAGTTGTGTCACCGTCCTCAACTCTTTTCTGGTAAAGTTGAATCTTACACTTGAACGCTGCCACTTTCTCATGAGCTGTATGCAGCATTGTAAGGTTTCCTTGGAGTGAAATATTCAGGAAATTCACTTCAGAGAAGAAATCTGCCAAGTAGGCAACCTCTGTTGCAAAACAGTCATCCCGCATCTTTTCATAAAGATTCTCCTTTGCTATACGACCCTGTTCCAACAGCATTGTTATTTCCTCTCGAAGTTGTAGAACGCGATTTAGAATCTTGCTACGTGACAGCCAACATACCTCTGTGCGAAATAAGAGAACAAAGAAGTCGGCACTCATTTCTGCACAAAGCACTTTAAAAATCCTTGAAGTCATTGCGCTCCCTCGGATACGGTTCACAATATTTACAACGCCTGTGAGCACTTCTTGAAGTCCAGGTGGGAGAGTCTTCATTGTCAAAGCATGCTGATGAATCATACAGTGAGTGAAAGAGACATGCAGAGCAACATTCTTCAAGAAAGTTTTGAAGTCAGACATAGAAGGAGTCCCATCTGTACACACCCCAACAAGTGCTTCCCTGCCTAGCTCGTGTTTATGGAGAAAGGCTTCAAGGAGTTTGAAAATTTCTTCTCCACAAGTGATTGTGGCCAATGGTTCAGAAAACAAGTACTCCTTCATAACTTCCCTGTCAAGATAACGAGCATAAACAAGAAGTTGGAACATGAAGCAACATCTGTTGACTCGTCCAGTTGAAATGAATACACTGGACTACTACTCACAGCAGCCACTACCTGCAACAGAATGTCCTCACTCATGTCCGAGATCCGACTTCTGGCTGTATCATTCGAAAGGGAAATTGCCCTCAACTTGTTTGCCTGCTGTTCTCCAAGAACCACCTTTGTTGCTTCCAGAATGCAAGGCTTAATCAGGTCTTTGTCAATGGTATGAGGCTTTTTGGTCTGCACGATTTTTAGATCAATTCTATATGAAGCCTCCAATGCTGCTTCATTCTGACGAGCAAAGTGACCAGTGGAATCGATACAACTGGCCTTCAGAGAAGCTTCTTTTCATTTGAAAAAGTCCAAGCTTTTGTCCACCAGATGGCTGTGGTAAGACTCAAAATGGACCTGCAGCTTTCTTGGCTTCATACTCTCGTGACTCAAAACTTTAGTGCAAACGATACATTGCAGCTTGACCACAGAGTTCTGAATGATGCTTGTGAAACCCATCTTGAGACAGGCTTCATTGTACGTATGCTTCTTGGCAGACATAGTGCAAACAGGAAACCGCCTTGGGAGTCAGAGAGCAAGAGTGACATACAGACATCCCCCACCATAGCTATGAACTGACTGAGTGACTGGTTGTGGTTGATGTGTTTACTGTAGCAGACCACCGCATGTGTGATCAGTGTTGCCACTCACCAAACTGGTAAAAGCCCAACTGGCTAATTCAAATATATGAAAATAAATCGCTGTATAGCCCTTGTGGCTTAGCGCTTCTTTTTGATTATAATAATAATAATAATGAAAATAAATTATATTCTCTCGAACCCTTTATAACCCCCCAAGAAACCCCAAATGACCCCCCAAGGAGTCACAACCCCCAGGTTAAGAACCGCTGGTCTAAAGCCATCAACAAACAACAAAATACCTTACATCAAGGGACTGTTCATGGAGTCAAATGCAATGTTTGTAGCTTTCACAGAGACCCACATAAAGGATCATTTTGATAAATATGGATACCAGGTTATAACCTATTCAGATGCAACAGACTAAACAGGTAACAAAGGAAGAATCAGCTTTTATGTCACAGAGTTGCTCATTTGCTCAGAATTACAAAACACCTCAAATAATGCACAGTAGTTGAAGTTTTGGCAGTAAAGATCAAAAACCGAAACCTTGTCATTGTGGTTGTATACAAGCCTCCGGATGCAAATTCCAATCAATTCCAAAAAACAGCTTTTGAAAATTGATCACTATCTGGAAAATCTCCCAACTCCTGCCCAAAACACCTTGCTACTCAGGGATTTCAACTTGAGACACCTAAAATGGAGGAGTGTAGCAAATAATATTTTAGCAGAAATCACTCCAGGAGGCAGCTCAGATGAATATTCACACACACATGAGCTATTAAATCTCTGCACCAAATTCACATTAAACCAGCAAATAATAGAGCCAACAAGACTAGAAAATACAGTGGACCTCATCTTCACCAACAACGATGATCCGATACTTAATACAGTATAACTGTATCAAAGACAATATACTCAGGTCACAACATAATAGGTACAGTCATGTAGGTAGTAGGTTGGTAGACAGCAACCACCCAGGGAAGTACTACCGTCCTGCCAGATGACTGTGAAACAAAAACCTGTAACTGTTTTGCATGATGGTAGGATTGCTGGTTTTCTTTTTCTGTCTCATAAACACGCTAGATAACAGGGATATCTTGCTACTCCTACTTACACTTTGGTCACACTTCACAGACACGCACATGCATATATATATATATACATACATCTAGGTTTTTCTCCTTATTCTAAATAGCTCTTGTTCTTTTTTATTTCTTCTATTGTCCATGGGGAAGTGGAAAAGAATCTTTCCTCCGTAAGCCATGCGTGTCGTATGAGGCGACTAAAATGCCGGGAGCAATGGGCTAGTAACCCCTTCTCCTGTATACATTTACTAAAAAAGAGAAGAAGAAAAACTTTATAAAACTGGGTTGTTTAAATGTGCGTGGATGTAGTGCGGATGACAAGAAACAGATGATTGCTGATGTTATGAATGAAAAGAAGTTGGATGTCCTGGCTCTAAGCGAAACAAAGCTGAAGGGGGTAGGAGAGTTTCAGTGGGGGGAAATAAATGGGATTAAATCTGGAGTATCTGAGAGAGTTAGAGCAAAGGAAGGGGTAGCAGTAATGTTAAATGATCAGTTATGGAAGGAGAAAAGAGAATATGAATGTGTAAATTCGAGAATTATGTGGATTAAAGTAAAGGTTGGATGCGAGAAGTGGGTCATAATAAGCGTGTATGCACCTGGAGAAGAGAGGAATGCAGAGGAGAGAGAGAGATTTTGGGAGATGTTAAGTGAATGTATAGGAGCCTTTGAACCAAGTGAGAGAGTAATTGTGGTAGGGGACCTGAATGCTAAAGTAGGAGAAACTTTTTAGAGAGGGTGTGGTAGGTAAGTTTGGGGTGCCAAGTG